CACATCATGCCAGGCCTAGCGCCAATATAGCGGAGTGGGGCTGGAAAAGAGCTGGCGTGAAGGCTGTAGCTACACGGGTAATGCGTTGTCGTGAAGTAGAAAGAGCAGAGTTCATCCGCACCTTAGCGGCTGAGCGACGCACAGTCCGAGTGGCCCTAGCACTCAGTTTGCGCTCCGAGAGGGGCCCAGTGCTCGACACTTTTACATCGTTTGCAAAGCTGCGTCCCGCGGCAGCTCTCCGAGCAGCGTTAAAATATTTCCGTCGGCGAGGCTCCAGTGCCGAGCTAGGTGTATGGAATATTATTAAACCTTTGCTATCCACAGTCGACCTAACGCACCGCGAACGTCTCCGTCGCTTGCTCGCCAACACCGATTGGATACCAAATCCGATAAAACCTGCATATATCACTGAACTGTATTCAGCTGTGCACAAAATTTCTCGTTCGAATGCGAATGACCTACTCCACGACATATGTAAAATCCTTCCCGAATGTGATGAATCCGTTGAAAATATATTACTTCAAATGCTTGACAACATGGATGCTGGCAATCCAGCTATGCCATATCCTGCTATTTACATCAGATACTTGATGCTGTCCAAAAACAATGAGGACCTGGAAAGAAGATTTTCGAAGATAGGAATTCGTTTTATTGAACAAGTAGACATTTTGCGCTCTAAAAAGGACGACAAATTCACGACTTGTCTAGATCAGATTTTAGAAAGTTTGAGATACAACGCAGCCTTTTTTGATACTACAAAAGAATCATGTTTGTTAGTGATCCAAAAGATTTTGGATTGGCTGCAAAAGTTTATGCCAAAAGAAAAATTCTTCAAAAATTATGTTTACATACATCTGACAATGTTATATTTCAAAGCAGTTAGGCAGAGCATGAAACAGATGCCAGAAGTGTTCGCTGACCCGAAGAGGAAGAGGACGGAAGGCGTGGAGGCTGTGGGCTTTGTGTTCGGGAGGTACATAGTGAAGGAGGTTGCTGAACTGGTCACTACGTACTTCGACTCCATAATAGAACTTTACACAGAAGCTCTTGTGGATTACTTCGAAAGTACTCTTAGGTACGGTGCATCTAGACAAAAGTTTATTGGCTATATTCTGAAGGGTGTCCTTGCAGATGGAGTTGGCATCCAGCGTCGTTTGGCTGTTTACACATTCAGAAACTGTCGCTACAGTGTCGACAGTGAAATGGTAAAGGAAATAGAAGAACAAATGAGTAAGGACAAAGCCATTGAGATATTTGTACATGCTGAGATTTTTGACTAGGTTCTCCTACACTTATTATACTCTATGGACTAATTTTGTTAATAATTGTTAGTCAAGTCAAAGCCATCATTGCCTGTCAATCACCTAAATTAATATAGACATTGTAATCGGATCCACTCCATTTTATCTATTTGTATTAAGTACAAAAAAATCAACACTTGATTAGAATTGAGAAATGGGATGTATTGTCACAACAAAATAATACAAATGTAAAATGATATTAATTAGTAATAGTTAGTACGTGTTCACAGTCTAGATCCTCTCAATTTCAACTAACTAAATCATAAAAATATACCTATGTAACATCAAAAACAAAACGTGAATATTAAAGAAAATAGAATTGTCAAATGTCGAATTAATTTTGATGCAAAAATTGTTATGCAGCAAAATTTGAAAACATAGAAACTGTGTCTAATTTAACGTTGTACTTAATTCTGTTTTTGATTTACACTGATGATGATGAGACTTACGCAAACAAGTGCAGAATGTACGTGGAAGTGAAGTTGTAACTTTTGATTTGTATAATACTCCTATGTAATAGGTACGTTTAAAGTGTTTTGCTGTTGCAAACCATGGAAATAAGGATTGGGTAAGAGGCACTAAGTCTCCATAAGGAGGTTAGCTTCGTTCATAAAACTAATCAGTATTTTGTTATTATATTGATGTTTCCTCTTTAATATATTTTTCTACAGATTATATTAAGTTACTGTTAATCGCAAAACGCACATAACTTTCGTATATTTTTTATTTAAATAAAATATTTCAACACAATTTTCTTAATGTTTTATTAAAAGACAACTTATATCAAGCAGTTAAATTATTAACAAAGTAATACAATGCTGAGACATCGCCAATGCAGATACGCGCCACAAACATCGAGGAACTAGTAATGAAACGATTACTTCAAAAAATTACTGATAGGTACATTTTCTTTAATACAAAATAAATTATATATTACTATTTAAATGTCCAACTTAGTAAAATTATTATACAACTAAGTTGAAATGTTATCGTTTCATAACTAGTATAAAGACTACAAAGTTCATTTTAGAGTATTTTAGAACATTTCAGAGTAGTTGAAGGAGTTAATATGACCTAAAGTCTTCAATTGCAGACATCATAAGTTTTTAAACAGAAAATATTATAACTACTAAAATGTTTCATTAAAAATCAGTATTTTGAAATTGAATTGGTACCTACAGTTCATACTACAATATATGAAAACGAAAAATAAAACAAATAGATGAGTAAGACAGAAAAGGAAAATTATGATAATAAAACCTTATTATTAGTAGAATGTAGACTAAAATTAAAACCGGAAAAAAAGACAGAATTCATAGTTGTGTACGTGTGTGGTCTAGGCCCATATTTTACTAGCAGAGGATCACAAGTTGTTTATGGAACAAATTTCATTGAAAACATATTACTATATAACATTATTTTGCGTAAACATACCGTACACTGACGCAAGAGTGGTTAGAGATATACTTCTATGTAGTGTCATGTCGTTTTAACACTCAAATGTATGCCACTGCAAGTAAATATGTTACCTTTGACTAAAAATAAATCTAGGTGAATGTTTCAGGTACCAAATAAATGCGATAAGATCATTTTATTAAAAAAAATCGTAATAATTTCAGTCTACACTTCATACGAATAAGGTTTAAAATATAAAGTTGTAATCAACAGAATCTACCTGTGGTACTGAGTGATTTGTTTCACAATTTTCTAAGCTTACACAATGGATGAACAGAACAATCATTCTTTGCTTTTGTTGTAACTAATATAACAAATGAATATGAATTCAAGTTACATAACGCCAGGCTTTTTTACTAACAAAGTACTAACGAGGTCTTTCTCTCTCTCCCTTTTTCCATGAAGCAGGTAATCTTTAGAACAGCTAATCGTTTTCCCAATTTTTTTCAAATACCATGTTCCTGACTACCGTATATATCACGCTACGATTAAATGGGGCCGAGCAGCGGGGGCAACTGCGCGAAAGTAGTGCTATATAAAAATAATTTTTCCTTGCCACTAAAATATCCTCATGTAAGTCTTCATATATTGTGCAGACTTAGAAATTTAAGATCGCAGATGGATGCTTCAAGATAGCTAATAAAATATAAATTCTTCAACGGTTTTTTTTCGCAGTTACACCGTAACATTTGATAATATGGTCTTTTAAAATGCGTGCCAACTGAATTTGGTAAAATAGACCATTGATGAGATGTTCTCTTGAATTACAACATAACATTTAAGTACATAGTAGTAACAATAACAAAAAAACAAAAACACAAAAATCACTGAAAAATGCACAGCCTGGATAATTCGAAAAAATTAAACATTCCCTGAGTATTAAAGTAAAAATTGTAGAAAAGAGTTCAGCTAGCTAGGTAGTATAAAAAATGCTGTAGAGTTTTTTTTTAAAGGTAACGTAAAACCTTATTTGATAATGGTTTCTGGACTAAAGAAGGGCTAATGTAACTAAGTTAATTTTAAAAGAGAATATTATTCGCTAATGTCATTACTCAACTTGTGACCGCAATATAGAAATAAAGAAAACCAAATTATTGATTGAATGAAACTAAATATAATATAATTTCAACTTTAAAGTACGTTTTTAATAATACATACTTTGATTCAACTAATGTATTTAAATTCCTCATTATAATTTAACTAAAAAGTCTTGTAACACATTTCTTAGACATATGATTTGTTTGACGTAACATCACATCTATATTTATCGAGATGGTTAGGCAGAGACGGTAGTTTCTGCGCATGTTTAGGAGTTGAGAAAATAAACATTGATTCAGTAAAGATACAATAGCTATTGTCACAACAAAATATGTAGACAGTCGCCGAGTCGCGTGTCGCGGAATGCTGCTCATGAATATAGGCCTCCAGCATGGCTTGAAACTAGTCGAGTATCTCGTCAAATTATTACGTGAGTAAGCCGAAAACATAATAATTAATTTAGAATGTCTCACGAAAGTTATAATAAAAATATATGATTTTTTTATATAACGATGTCACGTATCTTGTAGGGATTTGTCGGCTTGTTGGCAAAATATAGGTAGACTATTTCTGTACTGAAAACATCTTTATTTTCCAATCTGTATACCAAATAACTGAATTGAATATGCATAAAAATTTTTTCGCCATTTATTGTCATGACCCGAGGATCAAAATCTAACTTGCATAACGACATTGAAAGGTTTATTTAGAAGAACATTATTCCACTATATATGTATATGAATTTTAATGAGTAATCAATTCTTTTGCTAATATAAGTAAATGTTAATTTGAAAAACGAATAACTACAAGTCGTTCCATAATAACGATAGACATTATAATAATAATGTTAAAGGACCAACAACACAAGGTATATGAAATTTAACCTTATAGAGAATAAAGTTCAAATTACGTTGACATGAGATGATATTGTGAAATTGTTTAAGATATATTTAACACGATAAACTTTTCAAATCTTTAATATATAACAACCATAGTAGATCTTACAAGGGTAGGCAGAATGCATATACTAAAAGTTCCATAAAGTTCCATAGCTAGCTATATTTACCGGGGAAGAATCAAAGTCAGCTAATAAAGCAATTTACATAATAAGGGTTCCTCTTAATTTGCTTACTAAATAGCTATAAATGTAGCTTTTTTGACTAGGGAAAATCATCAAATGACTTCCTTCGCCCAGGGTACAGCGGTAGGGAGTATCTGACTCTTACTGACTAAAAACCCCCCGTTCCTTCTGTTCTAGACTTTATTGTGATCGTCAAACAACCCCGCTAGTCATGGGCCTGTCTCATGTCATGTCCTGGATACTGTCAACAAGACCAAACACTACACGAGCGCCATCTAGCGAGCAAAAACATTAAACAGTAGTAATTAAAGGTTATCTTGTGTGGTTGGTCCTGTAGGCGCAGTAAGTACATTGGCGACGCACGCGCAGGTGTACAAACAAACATACGTACGTAGCTACAATATACATCTATCGACTATTTCTCTTTGTTTAGAGCCTCGATAAACTCTTCTAGCTTCTCCTGCACTTGTCTCACTCGCTCTGAAAATTTAAAAGGGGAGAATTAATATTAAAAATTGCACATATCGGATACAAGTGTGGGAGAGCCATGCTTCGGCACGAATGGGTCGGCTCGACCGGAGTGATACCAAGGCCTCACAGAAAACCGATATGAAACAACCACAGCGTTGTGTTTCGCCGTGTCAGTGAGGTTACCGGAGGCCCAATCCTTCCCCTCCCCCTATCCCTCCGCAATCCCTAAAAGGTCGGCAACGTACTCGTAACTCCTCCGTTGCGAGTTTCCAAATGGGCGGCGCTGATTGCTTACCATCAAATATGCTTATCATGCTTATCATCAAAAAAAAATACTGAACTACTGAGGTAACTTTTAAATATTATTGTATAAAAACGTATTTGAAACTCACTTAATTCTTCTGCTAGTTCTACTCTTCTGCCGGACAGAAGTTTCTTTTTCAGTTCAGGATCTGCTGCCATCTGGAATGTTACATAGCATAATTAAAATATAGTAAAGTAGCTAGAGTTACAATGACTAGTGAAATTCAATGCTTTTTTCAAATTTTAAAATAGATACAGTCCGGCCGACGTATCTTGGCGAGTCTGAAGTTAGCCGTTTGTCTGCGCAATGGATCTTTTAGGAACAAAATTGTGTACTGCGCAGCTAATCGGCTAACTTCAGACTCGCCAAGATACGTCGGCAGCACTTTATATTTTGTCATATTTTGTATTGTATTGTATCATAAAATAGTAAAACTGCATTGGTGTTGCAGATGTCCATGGGCGACATTAATCGCTTAACATCAGATAATTCATCTGTTTATTTACCACTAGCTACTGCCGCGCGGATTCACTGTTCGGCTCCTATTAGTATTAGGGTGATGTTTTAGCCTATAGCACTCAGGAACATTGTACCTAGCTATCTACCTATCAGTGAAAGAATTTTGGAAATCCGACCATCAAAGATTACCCCCTACAATCCTACATACAAACTTAAAAAAATACCTCTCATCTATATATACAAAAGTTAATGCCAATTTTCGTTGCAATGTTATAACTCAACAATCCCTTTACAAATTTTGGTCATGAATTATTCGTGGAAGACCAGAGAAGGTTTATATGTAGAAAAAAAAAACTTGAATGAGTGTAAAACGTGGGCGACCGGTAATAATATTATAATAGTATAGAGGAATTTTCAATTTCGAAATCTCAATTTTTTATTGTATTTAGCTAACTCTAGAACATACATCATGTTGTGTGATTCAATCAGTACTTAACCTATATACTGTTATAATCACCATGCTTTGATTGGTACCTGTTGTAACTACCTTAATAAATAAATAAATAAGTATACAGTGAGTGAGCATACCTCATCAAGGACCTCCCTGAGCTCCCTGTCGAGCCGGGCGGCCTCCCGGTTCCCGATCTGCTGGCGCAGCGCGTTGGCCGTCGTGCGCAGGGTCTGCTGCACCCGCCAGAACATCACCACCTCGCAACATTCCTTCTGTAACGAGACATACAATACATTTTACTACATAGTATAAAAAAATAGGTAAAAAATCTTTCAAAGGCTGATTTTTCAATGGTTAGATAAAAGTTATTTGCGGAATAATTATGATGATGTCGCGTCACAATGTTTGTATAAGACAGTGACAGCAACAATTTTATTCCTCAGATAACATTTATATGGCTATTGAAGAATCAGGCCTAAGTTAAACGGTTTTATATTATGTACACTGAAAACTAGAAAATAAATAGCACCCTCATGCATGAGAAGCAGCCCTCTTAACTTGCCTGGCGAAAATGAACTATAAAGTCATGTGTACTGACCCCATTTCCATTCTGTTGACTATACAGGTAGAAACTCTTGCGACAGTCCCGGGCTCTCGTTTGTGCGCGGTGCAGGAAGTTTCTGAAAACATTACATAACTACTTCATTAAATCAATACTAGACTAGATGACTCCCATTGGTCATAGCGTGATATTTATAGCTTATAAGGATAGAAAAATTGGACAATACAATACAAAAATAATTGGTCAATTCGAACCAGTATTCCTGTAGCCTCAAAACTTCGTCGCGCATGTTGCTCATAAATAAGAGTCCCGTTATCACTTGAAAGTAATCGATCATTTCTCGAAAACTCAACTTAATCGAGCCGAACATTTCAGAAATAATTTAATATAGTTATTACAAGTGTAATCAAGTTTGGGAAAGCCATGTTTCGATAAGAATGGGTCGGCTCGACCGGAGTGATACCACGGTCCCATAGAAAACCGGTGTGGAACAGCCACAACGTTGTGTTTCGCCGTGTGAGTGAGGTTACAGCGACCCAATCCCTAATCGCTGAGGGTCTAACTCACTCATAAGTCGCGGCGCTGATTGCTTACCATCAGGTAATCCGTTAACCATCCTATTACATGTAAATAAAAATATAACAACATACTTCAAGTAAACAGGTTTCCAAGTCTCCCGTATGTAATCGTTGTCCACCTCAATGCCCTTCCTCCTGAGGTTGTCTCTGACGGCCACGACCTCGTCGTAGGCCAGCACTGGCCTCGCCACTCCCAACCTCTCCAACTCGTTTCGTACTTCGTTGCGACGACTCTGTTCCTCTGAGGTAGACTGCCAGTATAGCCAGCGGTCTTTTAGACCTGGACCTGTTGTTTTAGAGGGTTTTGCATTTATTAGTATTTCAAGTTTTGTCTATCATTCTAAATCGCTAATGAAGCGTTTTCGGTCTGTGAATAAGTAACACGGGAATCAATTATTTTAATTTTAGAGTGAACAATATAATTGTAATGAAAGTATGTATTAAAAAATCTTATTTAAAGCGATCAAATCCGCAACTTTGCTTTTTCTGCTGCTTTATGTTGCTGGACTCGACGAGTCTGGATCGAGGAACCCTCCCCGTTCCCCCAAGAAGGATTGGGCCTCCGGTAACATCACAAAACAACGTAGATGTTACTTCATGCCGGTTTTCTGTGAGGTCATAGTATCACTGCTACCCATTCGTGCCTAAGCATGGCTCTCCCACAGTAAAATAAGTAATATTTTTTATCAGCTTACCAACCAGTCATTAAGACAATATTATGACTTACCAGTGAGTTCTTTGAGGTCTTGGTGCGTGATATCCAGTTTCTCCTTGACGGCGGAGTCCATTAGTGAAACGGCGGCGTCCCAGTCCCCGCGGGACGACACACAGCGGTCTTGTAACGCGTTCAGTTGCAGGACTCTTAGTACCTGTATCGGAATAAAGAGAGAATACGGTATTACATGGATTTTTTTTTATTATTTAATAGGTCGGCAAACGAGCAGACGGATTACCTGATGGTAAGCAATCAGCGCCGCCCATGGACACTCGCAACGGAGGAGTTACGAGTGCGTTGCCGACCTTTTAGGGATTAGGGATTTGGAGATTTAGGGATTTAGGAGGGATTGGGGGAGGGGAAGGGTTGGGCCTCCGGTAACCTCACTCACGTGGCGAAACACAACGCTGTGGTTATTTCACGCCGGTTTTCTGTGAGGCCGTGGTATCACTCCGGTCGAGGTCGGCCGTGGATTGTTGAAATGTATCTATACTAATATTATAAAGAGGAAAAATTTTTAAGTTTGTATGTAGGGGGTAAACTTTGGAACCGCTGGTCGGATTGCCAAAATTCACTGATAGATAGCTACAATGTACCGGCGTGCTATTTGCATCCCTAGGAGCTATTTGCTCGTTCCCAAGTTTAGATTCCGATGGAGAAGAACGAGTAAGAAACTCCATGGTTACTCTTTTTAAATCAGTTTCACATAAATTCTAACTGAGGACTGTGTATAAGATTGAGTTTACTTACATCCTGTGCTCTATCCTCCCATTGATGCCTCCTGAGTGCCTCCTCAACGGCTTCCTTCTTCACAGGTTCATACACGGGATCCGAATCCTGTGCTCTATTCATAAGCTCTGTAAACTCCTCCCTGAGTGCCTCTCGCCCCGCCCTAATTGAGGCGTTGGGCAGTTCAGACTCCGCCCACTCGCGTAATTTGATGTCCACTGCTGTGTTGAATTTGTCTAAAAGAAAAATAATATCAAGATCAACACCTTTATTTCATTGACAATAGACATTTTTTAAATTAAAGTCCAATGTGGAGCAGTTTTGGTATTTCTTTTTTAAACTTTTTAGCTTTGGGCGCTTCGGTCGACCCTTGACAATTGCAAATTGGGCCATCGGAACGACTAGTCTACTATAGCCGATAAAGAAAACGTATTTATAAGAACATTCCGTTTGTCATCTATAGTAAATCTAATCTATTTTCCATATTACAATAAGAATATTCATCAAATATATATTTCAAAATGTTTGTCCCATCATTTGGGACACAATCTAGTATAATGTTTTATGAAACGAACGGCAGATTATGATATTTTTCAAAGTATAATTATTATGAACAAATTAGTTGCAAAATGAATGAAAATATAGCGATAATTCTTGAATATTGTTATTACCAACACCAGACACGAATTTATGTATGAATTACAAATTAGTCAAATTACTTATGAAAATCTTGATAATCAACTCTCTAAAATAATGTCTATTTGTAATTAATGGCAACACTTCGACTTAACATTATTTAACGATGGCAATACTGTGATACATAATTATTGACAGTGACAACACTACATATAGGGTGGTTTCTCACTGGGGTCGTAATCGTAAGGGTCCAGCCATATCGTATGGGTGCTTGTTCCTTCTGCGTTGCAGACCTTAACTGGTCGGGGCACTGGTAATGTAGCTAGAATACGGAAACTATATAAATACTATGCTTTATCACTACATAGTATTAAACATTTATATGTATAAAAATATCTTAAATCTTAATCTTTAAAACTACGGAAAGAACTAAAATAACCGGATCACAATCCAAATCCAAACGAATATTATAAATGCGAAAGTAACTCGGTCTGTCTGTCTTTTCTTCACGCTTAAACTACAGAACCGATTTGTGTGAAATTTGGTACAGACATAGTTTGGAACTCGAGAAAGGACACGGGATAGTTTTTAAACAAAAAATCTGCAGAAGTCTATATTTCACGCAGGCGAAGTCGCGGGTAAAGTCAAAGTCAAAGTCAAAATTATTTATTTCAATTAGACCCATACAGGCACTTTTGAACGTCAACGCAACTTTAAAGATACAAAGTGTCAGTCTGTCGGTCAGTCCTCTTAGTGAAGCTATTCGCTCGTTCCAAAGTGTAGATTCCGATGGAGAAGAACGAGCAAGAAACTCCATGGTTACTCTTTTAAAATCAGTGTCACATAAACATTCTTTGATACATTATTTAGTTAGTTTGAATATGTGAGAACAGTGTAACGCGTGTATACAGAGAAACATAAAAAGAAAATAACCTTAAGGACAATAGACAGTCCGGAGCTGACCAGTCCCAATTGACGGCGCCCGTTCACGAGCATGACACGTACACCAGCATCGCCCAACTCAACCATAATATAGGGAATCGAGCGATCCAGTGACCGTGCCACCGCCAATGTGACCTTTGAGTGAGCATGACAACTCCAAGCTGACATATGGACCGACATTCTGCTAGTCTAACTAATTTTAATAGGTTACAGGGCACTCACATTTTCAAATTTATCAAGTTTAACAATAAATATAGCATGGTTACAGATTTACAAAATCTAAGAACTTCCGTTCAAGCAAAGATCTACTGGAACATTATTTATATTCGTGTAGGTATATTATCCTGTGGAGCAGGACCAGCCCGTCTCCAAGCATCCTTATCCTCAATATAATCACTCAGTTTGTAATATGCTTTTTTACACAAAGTTTTCTTTATACATCATTAAAAATTTCTTTCATTTAATTGTTGTATTTCGCCTGGGATTTTGTTATAACACTTAACGCTGAATCCCATGAACGACTTGTGTACCTTTGCCAATCTAAATAATGGCTGACACCACGGAGTAAGAACAAAGAGGAGATGTCATAATAAGATTTCCCTAAGAAACACCGCGTGATATTTTGCGGAGTGAGGGGGTATTAGACTCCGCCCACTTTCTATTTGCCATCTGCCGGTCTATAGGAATACTACTCGCTCATTCAATTTACTTCTTTTTGTAGTTATGTAACTATTTCACAATAGATGTCACTAACGCAACAGGGTCGTACTTAGAATTTACCGGGGAGTTGTTTTAAAAAGTTTTTTGTAAATACATTTGCGAATCATCTTGATACGCATATTTTTAATCGAAATAGTAATAAATATCTAAAATATCTATTATTGGTGAATGAGAATCATTCTACATTTATCAAAACCATCTTTTTCATTTAACAGGTGTTATTTCGTTACGGGCGTAGCCAGAAGCAGAAAGTCGTATGCAATGCTACCAAGAGGCTGATGCCCTGCTGATAACTGGTTCTTTGTGATAACGAGTGTTATTATTAGATATGTTCTGTCTTTTCGTCACGCCTAAACTACTGAACCTATTTGAGTGAAATTTGGTACAGATATAGTTTGGAACTAGAGAAAGGACATAGGATAGTTTTTAAACCCAAAATCTACAGGAATTCACTATTCCACGCGAACAAAGTCGTGGGCAAAAGCTAGTTTCTAATAATTGTTTTGAAAACTCATGGGCAGTTGCATCATTACGTAGCTGAATACACATTATTACTAAAGTTCAGTGTCAATTTTCGTATATATCTCCAAATAACTGATGACTTCAAACAGGTTTTTCATCAGCAGGAGTTGATCGAGGAATGACAGGCAATGTTTGACGAAAGCCCCCTGACAGCAATATCAGGGCACCACGAAAAACCCGTTGAGTACCGCGTAAATTTTGCATGGTTCGATTAAATACTTCTATTGATTTTTTATTCGCCATTGTATGTGTGCATCCCATAAAATAATTGACGTTAGTTGCAAAACTTTTGCCATAGCAGAAGTTCTCGAAATATTACAATTTGCACTTTAAATCACCTGTACATTCAATAGCAATGCTAATGAAGAGTGTGCGGTCCTACCACCTTCTAATAATGTAACAGCAATCGTCTTAATTTGCATTACGTATTCGCTGGTTTTACCTCAACAATATTTTGGATCATAAAAACACAAAACAATAACTCAACAATATTTTGGAACAATAACGAACATTACATCTAATTAACTAGTGGTATGTTAAATGCTATTCCAAAGTTAATAATACCGCCAGATTCTTCATATATAACACATCCTAATGCGAAATGCCATATATAACACATCCTAATTATCTTCACGACTGTAATAGGTACTATTCACCATGAAAAACGAACAAAACCTGCCCTAATGTGACGACATATTTCGAAATAAACGAACAATGGAACGAATGATATGTACGAAGGACAGAGTATGTTGTGGGCATTTCATAGGCTTACCGGCGATACATATCTGAGTTGTATGATCCAAGTCCTGATGCCCTTAATTTGGGGTTGAAATAAAAACCGAAGAGGAACTTTAGAAGTATAAATAAGGTCGTTCAGTTTCAAACACTCAGGCACTAAGATTTAGCACTCACAGCGTGCGGTGAGGTGCGCTAAATTTGAGTGATTCCATTCGCGACTTAAATAAATCAACGATATAAACCTTAAAAAGTAATTTACTCCTAATTACTACCCTGTCTTTATTTATGTTTTACTACTTGACAATAGATGGCTGTCTGTTTATAAAATGATATAAAAGTTACATAAATAATATTTTGGCGATTAAAGGATCTTTAGGAATGCATGTCGATCAAATTACTATACAAACGATCATTAAAATATACTAATACTGAACTATGCGTACCTATAAAAAAATTGTTTCTATGATACACAGTGTCGACATCTAGTGTCGCGTAGATTGATAATTGGAAACGCTGACAATAAGAGACTTTGCTAGAACTATTTTAATAAATGACGAATAAAATAACTTATACATGAAAAGTGATGCCATCCATAGCACCGTAACGTTTATCATAGTATTTTTTACAAGATAAAACACAAGACTTCATTTTGTTTTCTTCTGTCACGAGTAAAATGAATATTTTATAGGAGTTGTGCACAGGACGAACGACCACATTTCACTGACGTAAGCCACGCCCACATTGATGACGTGAGGGCCGACTTGTGTCACAGGGCCGAGTTGTTTAGGCCGTCTCCTCTTTGTTCTTACTCCGTGGCTGACACAATCTATCTCTATGTCTAGTTTGGTAATTATGTCTGTCTGATACCTTATCAAATAATATTAAGTGTTTCCTAACATACATTATATTTTCATAAATAAACTGACCGGGCACAGTCATAATATTGATCTCTTTAAATTTATCTCTAAGAGATTCGCGAAGCCTTAGGTTGTAAATTGCTCTGATTGCACGCTTTTGCAAGACAAATATAGACTCAATGTCAGCAGCCTGTCCCCACAACAAGATGCCATACGACATAATGCTATGAAAGTAGCTGAAGTACACCAGTCTTGCAGTGTCCACATCTGTTAGCTGTCGGATCTTCCAGACAGCAAATGCTGCAGAACTCAACCGTCCTGCCAGAGATGTGATATGGGGCCCCCATTGTAGTTTTTCATCTATGGTTATACCCAGAAAAGTAGTCTGTTTTACAAATTCCAATTTCTTGCCGTTTAATAATATGTCACATTCGTTACTTTTTACATTTGGTAAACTGAATCGTATACACTTTGTCTTTTTGTCGTTTAGAACTAAATTATTAACTGTAAACCAGTTATGAACCTTCGTAATAGCATTATTTACTTCGTCATAATTATTTGTCCGTCTATTTATTTTAAAAATCAACGATGTGTCATCAGCAAATAATACCATTCCCGGTTCTCGCTGAAATAAATGAGGTAAGTCATTTATGTAGACCAAAAATAGGAAAGGACCTAATATCGAGCCCTGTGGTACGCCCATAGATATGCTAGCACCCTGAGAATTCACTTTGTTTACCTGTACTTTAAGCTGCCTATCCTGGAGGTATGATTTTAATAAATTGAGTGAAGCCCCTCGAATACCATAGTGTTCCAACTTTAGCAACAGTGTCTCGTGTTCGACGCAATCAAAAGCCTTGGACAGGTCACAAAAAATTCCAATAGCGTCGTGCGACTCCTCCCACGAGGCAAAAACACGCTTAATTAAAGTTACACCGGCGTCAGTTGTGCATCGACCTTTGGTGAACCCATATTGTTGATCATGAAAGATGGAATTCATGTTAAAGTGACGCAGCATCTGAGAAAGCATCAGCTTTTCAAACACCTTACTAAGCACCGGTAAAATAGATACCGGCCTATAATTATTAGGATCGGTATCATCGCCAGATTTAAACAGTGGAACTACTTTGCTATGTTTCATCAAATTTGGAAAAACTCCCTGATGTACACTTCTATTATAAATTAAAGCTAAATGAGGCGCTATAGCTTCTATAAAAGCCCTACACACTGCAACAGACATTCCCCAGAGATCCTCTGTAGACTTAACTTTAATGTCTTTAAACGCCTTTATTACTGATTGGGGGTTACTGATTGTGGGTAGAAGTTAGTCTATTATATAGTGGAGAAATTTAGTATCAAATCAAAATCATTTATCCAACTAAACCACAAATAGGTACTTTTGAAACGTTAAAATATAATAGTAGTCTGTCAGTCTGTTTGTTAGTCAAGCTAGGTGCTCGTTCCAAATTGTAGTTTCGAATGGAGAAGAACGAGCAAGAAACTCCATTGTTACTTTTTTTTAATTATTATCTGCTTTACAATTTTACTTATAATACATATTGTACCCCTATGTGAGATATATCAGCCTTACACCAGTTCGAACTTCGCTACTGTTATCATAAAGCCTTCCAATTTTTATCTTAAAATATTATCGTATGTCCTTAATGTTAGTACACCTTTTATGGATCACCTGTCATGGATCCTTTGGTTAAACATTAGTGTTACACTGTTCTCACATAATAGAACTATCTAAATTATGTAACAGTGCATTTGTGGTCTAGTTGATTTTTTTTTAAATGAAACCTTGCCCCACTTTAGGATTTTCTCCTGTTTTGTGGGTGCGTTTACAAATATACAATATCACATACACATGGCACCCAGACCCGAAACAACAATTTGTGGATCACACAAAGTGTTGTTCCGTGCGGGAATCGAATCCACGACAAGTTGCACAGCAGACATTTGCCCAGCCACCGCACCTACCGTGCAGTCATCAAGTCAAGTCAAGTCAGAAATAAAGAATGTGATTGTAAGGACTTACCGACGTCCCCCATGGCGTTGGCGGCGGCGGGCAGGTAGATGGTGGAGAAGACGCGGTCTGCGGCGGCGGCCCACAGCGCGCGCGTGAGGCGCAGCTCCCAGGCGGGGGGCGGCACGGCCGACAGCTCCGCCGACTGGTCCAGCAGCTCCGCGCGGGCACGCTCGAACAGCTCGTCGCGGTCCAGCTCGCGCTGTCTGGCCCACCACGCAACATCACTTTTATTATATATTCAGTCAACAAAGTGTCGGGAATGAATGTTTTTTTTATGGTTCCAAATTCGAATTTTAATTTTTTTTGTTGTTCTTAGATTGGCATAACTGTTTTCCATTTTGGCACGGAATTTGAGTTGCATATGTTATTTATATTAAAAACAGTGCTGTTTTTAGTTTTATAATATCTAGTGTGTATTGCGAATTTCATAATGGACAAAAACATCGAACAAAGAGTTTGTCTTAAATTTTGCATCGCCAATGAAATTTCGTGTTCGGAGGCACTCAAAATGTTACAGAAGGCTTACGGTGAATCGACTTTATCAAAAACACGTGCTTATGAGTGGTACAAAGCGTTCAAAAGCGGTCGAGATGTGATGGAAGATTTGCCTCGTTCTGGTAGGCCATCAACGTCTGCAACTGAACAGACGGGGCCCTAAAGGGCTGATGTTCAGCCGGGGTTGCGGGGTAAGCGCAATGAGGTACCGAGACCTCGGCACAGAGCAGGAGAAGGAACAGGGGGGTTTTTAGTCAGTAACCCCCAGTTTCCGAAAGGCCGATCAATGTTAAAATCAATTTAATCTCTTGTCAAGTCATCTGATTGGTTGACTGAATAATCAACAACCAATCGGATGACTTGACAAGAGATTTAACAGGAGATTAGTTAATTTTAGCGTTGACAAGCCTTTCAGAAACCGGGTGTAAGAGTCTGACACTCCCTCCTGCCCGGCCCTGGGCGGGAGAAGTCATTTGATGATTTTCCCCTCACAAAAAAAAAACCATCGCAAAAGTGAAGGAAATAGTGACTAAAAATCCTCATTCAAGTTTGAGAGAGATGGCCGCCGAACTTTCTGTATCTCACGAGTCGATCCGTACCATTTTAACAAATAATTTGGGTATGAAACGTGTTGCCGCTCGGCTAGTCCCAAAAGACCTGAATTTTCTTCAAAAACTAAATCGCATGAAAGTCGCTGAGGACCTGCTAGAACGAGTCAATACCGACCCAACATTCATGAAACGCATTGTTACTGGTGACGAGACGTGGGTTTACGAGTTTGACATGCAAACTAGTCAACAAGCTTCGGAATGGCGCCTTCCAACTGAACCAAAACCGAAAAAACCACGTCAAAGTCGATCAAAAGTCAAAGTCATGTTGACTGTTTTCTTTGACTATCGCGGTGTTGTGCACTCAGAATTCTTGCCCGAAGGTCAAACGGTAAATAAAGAATATTATTTGAGCGTTATGCGGCGTTTAAGAGAACAAATTCGACGAAAAAGGCCAGCAATGTGGAAAGAAAATTCTTGGATTTTGCATCACGATAATGCGCCTTCGCACAAGGCCATCATTGTAAACGATTTTTTGTCCAAACACTCAACAAACACCATCGAGCAGCCACCATATTCACCAGATATGGCTCCAGCCGACTTCTTTCTTTTTCCCACACTCAAATTACCCCTTCGTGGCACCCGTTTTCAATCGTTAGAAGACATAAAGGAGAATTCGCGGCGAGCACAGAACTCAATTCCGGAAACAGCGTTTAAAAAAAGTTTCGATGATTGGATTATTCGTTGGCGTAAGTGTATCGTTTCTGAAGGAGCATACTTCGAAGGTGATAAAATAAATTTAGATGAATAACAAACATTTTGTATATTATTGACTTTTTCCCGGTACTTTCTTGACAGAGTGGTATATCTTATGCAGTGTGGGAGACCTATACTTCGGTGTGAATGGACCAGCTTGACCAGAGTGATATATTGGCAAAAAATAAAAAAGCTTAGTAATTTTTTTTAAACGGCCTTTTCTTTGATGAGTCATTAAGTTCTTAAATTAAACACGTTTGATGCTTTTTATAGATTGTTTTTCAAAAAAAGGTCACTTAACAAAGTTAGTTTTGAAAATCATCTCCGATGTCACATCTTTGCATAGAAAAATCTGTTCATGGTAAAAGTTACATGTATATAATAACTTCAAGTGCATGAGTTAATTACCAATAGATTAAGTCCTGGAAAACGTACATTTTAAACTTAAGTTTTCAACTTTTCAATTAAGCTGCAGATTTTAAAACATTTAGCACAAATTCAATTTTTTATTCTTATAATTTTTAAAGAATTTTGTACAAGAATTGCGTGTCAAATGTGAACAAATTTTATGACCATCAAATTACATAATGCAGCAAAGAAATATAATATTATCACATTTTATATTTCTATAAAAATATGCTAGAAACAATAAAATTATAATTGAGTATAGTATTATAAAACTCATTCATGTGATAATTTTGATTGGATTAGAAAGTGTGATAATTTTTGAGTAATTTATAGCATTAAGAAGTCGAAATGACATATTGTATGTAATTTTATTAATAAAATGTAGTAAAAATTAATAATTAAAAAACTAACCTGGGGAATGTATTCTTCCACTCGGTCTCGAGGTTGAACCTCATGGCCTTGAATGCGTCGGCCTGTTGTTCGACGGAGGCGCGGACCATGCGCCAGAAGCAGTCCGCCACGGCCAGCGACAGGTTGCGCGTCGTCACCTGCGACGGAGTCACCAGACCGTCCCTGCAACCACAAGTCTCTATACACTAGAGCTCGGCTAGTACACGGCCTCACAGAAATTTGTGTTGCGTTTAGGGCATGAGAACCCGTTTTTCCCGGTTCCTAAAGAACCGGGAAATTCCGGTTCTGGAAGACACAGATAGAACCGGTTCTGTAAAACGAGGAACCGGTTTTTTTGGTTCTTATGGGTCTATCTTAAAATTTTAAAAATAATATCTCTATACCTTCCTTTCACGGGATCGCAGGATCCCGGACCTTTGGAAGGCGTATGAGGGGCCGAAGCCAACTCGCAGAGGCCCGTTGAACAACTTAAAGTGAAATGGGACATCAGCCAGCAATATCCCTGTATGCACTATGAAAGTGCACCCAAGGATAATCCCCGGTTGATGCAGGACTATTGCGAAATGTAATAATTGAAAGGGTTATGAGTATGGGTTGCTATGGACTGGTGGATATGATAACTATGGACATACTATGGCCCCTACCCCTGACCAATATTGATATATACGGATAAACAGGCAGGAGATGACTGGCAAACTCAATTAATGGGTCCCCGGAAACGGCTTCTAGCATGTAGTGACATGGAGGCAATATACATTGAGCTGCTTGGGGAAGGAGGCATCCCACGGCTATCAGAGATAAAAAAAACTACCGCATTAAATTATAACTTAATACAATAACAGAAGTTACTTGAACAGCTTGGAAGACCGGAAGAACCTCTCCTCGTACTCCCGTATGCTCTGTATGGAGTCGTCCTTGCGGGAGCGCCCCGTCACTACGGCGTAGTAGCCGAGCGCCTTCATCGGGAACAACTTGCCTTCGAGGATGCGACGGATCTAGTGGGGAAAACAAATGGTATCATTGGAACTATCCTTCTCATTCCTCAGCCGCATCACTCGGCCTAGAAGTGCCCACTGCTAAGTAAAGGCCTCTTCACACACAGAGAAGATTTGAGCATTAATCACCACGCCTGCTCAAAACGGATTGGCGATTTCAAACTTATAATTAGAAATTATAAGTCCAGGTTTCATCAAGATGTTTTACCTTCACCGTATGTCAGTGGTGTCTAAATAATCATAGAAAGTACATATAACTCGGGAAAGTCCGCCCCTCATGTATGGCGCCTTAACCTCCGGCCCACCACGACAGCCTCAGCCGCAGGAGGGAGGGTAGCTCGTCGCCCAACCAGAACCAGACCCGAGAAGTGAGACTTTTTTCGTTTTGTCTTCTCAAATAATATCTTCTGATTTATTTCGTTGCGGTTGTATCTACTGTAGATCCTGGCTTACAGGACTTGCAGCGGTTTTGAAAGGTTGCGGCGGGCTTGCCCATAAAAAAAAGTAGAGCGTACGGCGCGAAGCATAGCAAGAAGGGGTTGTATGGCAAGAAGTTTCATTTAACAGACAGAATAATTCGGACCCTAACCGAAAACCCACACATAACAAATTAAAAAAAAACGTTACGTTTCCGAGATCACATGCTTTTGCAAGTAACCAGCGCCACCTGCCGGGCTGATTTGTGAATCTAAACCATCCAGGGCACCGCTCAAACGCATACAGAAAAAACATTTAAATCAAGGGTCAAGCCATTTAGGAGGAGTTCAATGACATACATTTTCTTTCTTTATATACATATGTATTTCTGCTGTCACGTACAGCAGAAATACATATATAAAGAAAGAAAATATATACATTATATACTATACTCACTCTGTTAGGATTGGCGAGGTTCTCCTCAGCGAGGTCGACCTTAGTGAGGACGAAGATGGTCCTCTTCCCGGAGGGATCACAGGATGATACTAGGTCCGTCACGTTACTACGCTCCGCATCCACTGAGCCGTCCTGTGAAGGAAAACAAAAATTGATTACTTATACATATTAGGCTTAGATTATTTAAGAAATTAATTAGTGTGTGAGGAGTTAATATACTTATTTAAATTTTTCTCGGTTCATAGATAAAAGAATATCAAAGTAAAAAAACAGCCAAGTGCAATTAGAATAGACTTCTAACTACTTCACGGAGAAAGTTCGAGGATTAATCAATACACTTGCTTGTGAGATTTCTAACTTATAGTAGTCAAAAGTCCAAGTTTCCTGACTATATTGTCAGTAAAGTCTAAGCACACTTTTAAAGGTAGATATAACTCGGAAAAAATATATTGGGGGGTTTTTTATCAGTAAGAGTCTGACACTCCCTCTCGTCCGATCCAGGGCAGGAGAAGTCATTTGATGATTGCCCTTCATAAACAGCCCTTATTTTTTTTTATGTGATGGGTCAGGAAACGAGCAGACGGATTACCTCATGGTAAGCAATCAAGCAATGCAACAACAGAGGAGTTACCAGTGCGTTGCCGACCTTTAGGGAATTTGAAGATTAAGGGATTGGAAAAGAGGAGGTATTGGGCCCCCGGTAACCTCACTCATACGGCGAAACACAACGCTGATTGTTTCACGCCGGTTTTCTGTGAGGCCGTGGTATCACTCCGGTCGAGCCGAAACTTTCGTGCCGAAGCATGGCTCTCCCACATAATATACAAGTACTAACCTGTATGCACAATATGATGGCGTTGGGATTGTCCATGTATTGCTTGGTCATCTGTTTGATAGCGTCCCGCGTGTCCGACGCCATGTCTACTGTTTGAGTCTGAAATATTTATATTTTGTATCATTTCAGTTTTGATTCGGTAGCGCCAAGGTGAGTTAAGTCTAAGTTAGTAATAGAATCCCAGTTTTGATTTAAGTTGATGCTTCTACGCTTTGTAAGTAAAAAATATTCCTGAGCAATTAAATAGATATATTTTTAATATAAACATATTTTTCAAATTAGAACCCGTAGTTCCTGTTCAGAAAAAGATAATCTTCAACTTCATAAAATATAGAATTATACATAGATAAATATATACATCACTAGACTAAGGCTATACATGAGAAGCGGGCGCCTTAATATCCGGGCCATCACTACATAGGGATCGGGATGAAGTTTGACCATGATTTTTTGTTTTTATGATCAATTGATCATATATTGTCGGTCAAAAGTGTATACTTACAGATATAACCCCGGGCAGGTCGACGAGTACCATCCGATGCAGGCCGGGGCCCTTGACGGACATCGAGATGACGTCGGTGGACACCGTGCGGCCCCCGCGGACACTGTTACGCATTCGTAACTCCACCTCCCTAAGGATGTAATTTGAGGTTTGAAATAATCTATACTACATGGATACAATTTAGATTAATTTGTCAAAAAAATTACAGAGGCAAAAGAGTTCATTGTTTTTGAAAGTAACATTCAAAATGACACACATTAGTGTCAAAAAATTTAAATAAACATTAGAAGAGGCCCTAATATACCAAAAGACCAAAAGAAACGGATTTTCACAATAAAAATCAAACGCAAAAAAAAAACATACAAAAGACTATGTATTGCCAAAAATCTATTTTTTTTAAACGTAATACGACACAAGAAAAATACATGTCTACTTACTTTCTTAAATCAGCTAAATCAGACTCCTTGTTGAGATCGAACTCCCGCGCCGAGTCGCGGAACTGCGCGACGTGGTACGGACCTTCTGATAGAGTTACCTTCACTGGGGCTCTGCAAAAAGCATATTATACATTAAAAACCTATAATTCTTTAAGTTTTACACATCACATCAACAGCCTATAAGTGCCCCCTGCTGACCTCTTCTCAGAAGGAGAAAGTTTGAACATTAATCACCATGCTTGGTGTCTATATAATCATAGAAAGTACATATAATTTTTATTATAACTTTCGTGAAACATTCTAAATTATTATGTTTTCGGCTTACTGACGTAATAATTTGACGAGATACTCGACTAGTTTCAAGTCACGCTAGAGGCGCATATTCATGAGCAGCATTCTGACTGTTTAGTAGCAGCGCGACAGTTATAGTTACAAATTATTACGTGAATGAGCCGAAAACATAATAATTAAAGTACATATAACTTGAAAAAGTCACATTGGTAATTATCAGGTTTCAAAGACGCCTTTCTCATGCATGGAGAAGCGGGCGTCTTACCTCCGGGATACCACGACACTTTAGCCAGAGAGAGAGCCATTCTTCGCCACAAATGGGTCGGCTCGACAGAAGTGATACTATAGCTTCACAGAAAACCGGCGTGAAACAACCAGCGTTGTGTTTTACCGTGTGAGTGAAGTTACCAGAGGCCCAACCCTGTTCCTCTCCCCATCTCTCCCTAATCCCTAAATCTCCAAAAGGCCGGGAACGCATTCGTAACTTTTTTGGTGCGGAGAGCAAGTGTCCATTGGCGGCATCGATTGCTTACCATCAAGTAAACAGCTAGTTTGTCGTGGGTGAAACCGCGCGAGATTACCTAGTCTTATATAAAGGAGGATAAGGCTTAAAGTTCAAAAGAGAAGCATCACCTACTTTTTAAAATAAGTCTCATTCATTGAGTTACTAGAACGGTGAAAATCAATCTTCTATGGATCGTAGTCAGTGGTCTTACTGACCAAAAGGTCAGTAAGAGTCTGACACTCCTTCACACCCCACTTAGGGTGGGAGAGGTATACTGATAATTAACCCTAAAAAGTGTATAAGGGGTATATAAATACCTAGTACACATCTCCCCAGCTCCCCTCGGGAATATCCTCGCCTGTGCGATCATCTCGAGCACGGAGGTCTTCCCAGCAGACTGGTCTCCGACCACGACGACGCGGGGCAGGCGGTCCGTCTCCCCAGCCTCCCAACCCGACAGCTCGTCCAGGACCGCCGAGTACATGTCGATTAGGGAACGCTGGAACATGAGATAATTTGCTGTGTAATGCCTATCGGGAAACAAAGTCAAATAAATTATTTTAATAGAAACATAAAAAGACATTATTGAGTGTCTAACAAAGATTTTGCCTACTCCAAAGTGTATATTCCTATGGAGTAGGACTAGCAAGAAACTCCATAGTTTCTTTTTTTCAATTAGTTTTATAATTCTTTTTTTGCTGCTCTATATAAGTTGATTCCATGTGACAACATTAATAGTTAAAGGAACAGAAAAGTCCCTCAAGGACATATTTTAACCAAACCATAAATAGGTACTTTTGAAAGGTCAAAATAGAAATGATACCCAGAAACACTTTCTCGTTGGCAAATTCTAACTTTTGTTTTTTTCTCGTAAAGTGCTAAATTATTGACTGTAAACCAATTATGAACTTGATAAATAGAACTGTTTACTTCGTCAGAATTATTAGCACGTCGATTTATTTTAAAAATTTGGTTTCTCAGGTTTAAATAAAAATGGCAAGTCATTAACATACACTAAAAAGAGAAACAGACCCAATATTGAACCCTGAGCAACGCCCATTTTTATCTCAGACCCCTGTGAGTTAGAACCACCTACATGAACTCTCAGCTGCCTATCCTCTAAATATGATTTTAGTAGACGGAGTGCAGTATGTCTAATCCCGTAATAATCTAGTTTCAGCAAGAGTGTTACATGATCAACGCAATCGAACGCTTTTGAGAGGTTGCAAAAGACACCAACAGCATCCTCTCTTTCTTCCCAAGCACCGAATACTTCCTTTATTATTGTGACACCGGCGTCAGTTGTACAACGACATTTAGTGAAACCGTATTGTTGGTGATGGAAGATGGCATGTTTATCAAAGTGATGAAGCATAAAAGATAGCATTAAATTTTCGGACACTTTGCTAAGAACCGGCAGAACAGACACAGGCCTATAGGTCCTTGGTTCCTTACGTGTCACCATTTTTGAATAATGGAATAACTTTACTGGTTAGGTTAGCAACTAACCTTGACCTTCCTGGGCGCGGGCTGCCTGCCCTGGCGCAGCAGCATGTTCTGCTGTCGCAGCTCGCGGTTCTCCTGCTCCAGGCGCTGCAGCTCGCGCTGGTAGCGGGCCTGCAGGGCCAGCACCTCCTCCTGCAGTACGTGCACGCGCTTCTCTGGAGGAAGGGAGAGACGCAACAACCCTCAGTAATTTTAACTGATAGGACACCAAACCAGCTGATGGAAATATATCCGAAACTCTTATCCCTAAACGGCCACGCACTCGTAACTCCTTTGGTGTTGCAGGTGTCCATGGGCGGTGCTGATTACTTACCATCAGGTAATCCACCTTTTTAAGTAAAGTTTTCGGAGATTTAAGTCTTGAGGAAGGACGGCGAAAAGGAAGGACTGGGCCTCCGGTAACTTCACTCACACGGCGAAACACAACGCTGTGGTTGTTGGCCTGTTGTTGAGGCTATCCATTGGTTGTGAAGCTTGGCTCTCCAACACTTAAACTAAGCATTAGATCGACTGGACACGATTTGCCACGGCTCGCAAAAATTCAGCGTGATACAAAGCTTACGTTACGATATGATTTACGCTGTGAGGTTACCAAAGGCCCAAACCTTTTATAATCTTAAGGGGATTATAACACGCAAGTGTCCAAATTATTAAATAGGCACCTACTTACCGTAGGCAGTAGTGTCTTCGCCCCCGGACCTGGGTGAGGACGGTACGGGTCGACTCTGTAGATTGTTGACAATCTTCTGCGGTTCCTCTGAGGAGTAACAAACGTTATTTGATCAAAACGTTCCTAATAATGTCATTCATGTCAAGTTTAATATTGTCAATCAAATCTTTATCTAATATTATAAATGCTAAAGTTACGAAGTTTGGATGTTTGTTACTCAATCACGACAAAACGGTAGGACGGATCTGGATGAAATTTGGCACAGGCATAGTATACATTCCGGAATAGGACATAGGCTGTTTTTTATCAACATACCACGCGGGCGAAGCCGCGGGAGGAAGCTAGTAGGTAATACTAGTAAATATACGTCCATATTCGCGGACAACTTATAGGTTGCAAGTACTAAGACAAGTTTTTCATACGTTTCCTAAGGGCGTAGTATGACAACCAATTTTAAAAAAATGCATTGACAGTTCAACATACTATTATTTATGATAGTATGAAAATCTAGACGCTTGTGGTCGTTACTGTCTCCAAAATTGTTAATATATTTAAAACAGAAGATTTTTAAGAATCTTACGTTATTAAATTAAAAGCAAAAACAGTACCTAACTTTAATAAAGAAACGAACATGTAAAAATAACTAAAAACTAATCTTTAATCAAATTAATAACAAAAAGCGAAAGTGAACCAAAAACACACACACAAATAAAATTGACATTAGCATAACACAAAATCTTTCAAGAGGAACGAAAAAACAAAGCACACAAAAATGAACCACAAGCACATTAAAACAGAGGCTATAATAGCACAAACGTACCGAGACCAGCGGCGTTATTGGCTGCGGCGGCGGCGACGGCGTCTTCGTAGCGTTGCTGCAGCCAATCACGGAGCTCGTGCGCCCGCGCAAGCCCCGCCTCCCGCAGCCGAGGATCTATGTGCACCGACAGCGTCAGTGGGACACCTAGCGATAGCCAACCCTGTACTGCAGTCACTGCACTAAGGCCTTCTAAGGCATACGTGATGCCGGTCTTTTTTATCGACGTAAAATAAAAAATGGCGTTGTAACTAGAAAATAAATTCGCAGCTTATAAAAGTTTGGGCAGTAACTCAGAAAGATCGTCTCATTTCATACATAATTTGTCAAGAGTCTCGTTTGAGCGAATCGCTCATTTATTGTACTTTCCACTTTAAAACATTGATATTACGTGCTATATTCGAGTGGCAATATGACTATAATGGAGCCACGTATGCGAAGTTCAACTTCTGTCACTGAACTCCACTAATAACATTTTGAACTTTGGTTTCAGTGATATTGAATACTGGTATGGTGAAATTTGAATACTGTTATTTAAATGTCAAAAACGATACTTTTTTATGAATTTTGTATTAGATCGCAATGTATAGAGTAATTTCTACGGCGTCAAAGCAATGTTGCAATCAATTTATTTAATCTGCGCGCCGTCTTGTGACGTCAGAAAGAAAGAAGTTTACCGACTATGATGTAGCTACATTTATTCCAAAAGCCATTTTCAACTAAATTAGTAACATTTGGTAGATTTTATTTGACCTATACCTAAATATATGTATATCTAAATTCAATGTCTAGCTGCTAAATCTACGGAGATTAAAAAAAAAGTCAAAAATCATTAATTCCAATTAGACCCTTACAGGCACTTTTGAACGTCAAACAAAATTTTGAAGATTTACACCCGGTTGCCGAAAGGCCGATCAATGTTAAAATCTATTTAATCTCTTGTCAAGTCATCTGATTGGTTGACTGAATTATCAACAACCAATCAAATGACTTGACAAGAGATTTGACACCTAGTTAGTTGATTTTGACATTGGTCGGGGTTTCGGAAACCGGGCAATAGTGTCAGTCTGTCGGTCAGTCCTTCTTAGTGAAGCTATTTGCTCGTTCCAAAGTGTAGATTCCAATGGAGAAGAACGAGACGATTTATTGAATGTATTCAATTCAATTGCCTTAAAAACGCAATTTTAAAGTATTGTGACTGATCTTTTATGCTATTATTAAATACTATAATGAAAAAAGGCAAGCTTTTTTGGTATGAATACGGTAGTTTGCAACAAGTCAAAATAAATACTTTTATCCAACAAAATAAATGTGAAAAACGATACTTTTCTATGAATATGATATACTAAAAATATCGAAAATTGATTTTTCAATGTTTTATTGTATTGAAACGTCGAATTATTTATTTATTTTTTTGACCTAGGAAATTACCAAATTAACAAACCTACAACCTAACAAGAAAAGGGCCAAGCGCTAACCTAAATAATCAATAGTAAATAAAAGGCATTGTAGTATTACTACAATCTAAAGGTTGTCAAATGCATATCTACTAAGGAAGTACATACTTTGTACGTTTAGTATTCCTTGCAATAATGGCCTTTAAGAATTTCGTTACTTAGCTTTTAAATAAAAACAAATCTACTGTGCACATAAGTGCTAATATACAATATGGTGTATCACATCACACTTAGGGTCAGTTCATACCGAGACGCCACACTGAAAGATCGATTCAAATAACAACTATATATTTGGCTAACTATATATATTATAGTTGGCGTGGTAGCTGTGTACCTGGATGCTGCGCAACGTGTCACGGGTTCGATTCCCGCAAGGGAACAACTTTTTGTGTGATCCATGAATTGTTGTTCCGGGTTTGAGTGATAGTACGTGAAATTGTATGTTTGTAAACGCACCCACGACACAGGAGGTAATTCTAGCTGGGGCAAAATTTTTCAAAAGATAGAGAAATAAAAGATGGCTTTGAAGCACGTCGCGTCTTGGTGTAAATAGACCCTTATATTCAAAGTGACAGTGATATAAAAAAATACATTTCAAATATCAACATAATGAGTGAAATACATTACAAAACTACGGAAAAATACAACTATCATCCCTATTTTCTATATCACAAGGTTCTAATAACTCACCAATCTGCAGGTTGTCTCCGATTTTAGATTTCGCATTTATAAGTGTGGTGGTGAATTGATCCCATTGCTCATTGTCTGGAAGCAGGTCGTTCAACCAGCCCATGTCGGGTAGACCATCCTTCCATTCTGCATATTTCTGAAATTGAAATAAAAATTTTATGTTTTTTGCTTTATACTTATAATTTATAGATATGGTATTTTTCGTTATTGCGACAAGCCCACCACAATGTCCTGACATTACCAAACTTCCTATAAGCCAGGATCTATTGTACAAACAAGCCTCAAAACAACGAAACCATTACCACGAAACCATCACCACGAAACCAAGTCCATTCCAAAGACATGGTAAAACTATCTTGGATGCCAAAACAAAATAAATCAGAAGATAATAACTGATGGAATAAAATAAAGAAAATGAATAGGGATCAATTATTATTTCTTTTTTTTGGGTCTGTGTTTTTTTTTTTCATACATATTAACAAATTACCGTACCAACCTTATTTAAAGTCATACCACCCCCCAAAGCGCCTCCGAGAACTAAGTACCGTATCTTCAGCATGCCTCTGACAGCTCGTGCCACTAGCATGCCGTATTTCCTCCGTTGCACATGGCTGGTATCTATAGGCTTGTGTAGAAGTACACTGCGGCCCGTCCATATTGAAAATGCAACCGCTCGTTTGTCTACTATAGTCCATTGTGTTGATTTTTTAAATGCTGACCTGTAAAGATAATTATAGTCATTAACGCTAAATGATTATTTCAATTAATTACTTAATTTCAGGTAATTATGTATATGTCCTATACTTGTTATGGTGGCTTGGAGTTTAAGGTGTATAGTCATTGTGCATGTAAACAACCTTAAGTGCACAATGACTTGGGTCTGAATCCTGACAAGTAATCATGTCAGTCTTTCCGAGTTACATGTACATTTTAAGATTATTTATACCCCATTGACACTGACACATGAAAACCTGAATTTATCATTTCTAATGAAGGGTTTCAAATCACCTTTCTACTTTGAATGTGGTTATTAAATCAAACCTGCATGTGAGATAATGTGCGGTAATTAAGTTTCTACAATAGGTTTATATTTTTTTATTATCAGAGCCTTTTCATAATGTAGGATAGCCACGATGTACCCAATAAATTTGAATACAGAATGTAAATTGTATGAACTACTTATATGCCACATAGGCTTAAAGTAAGCACCTTATATGAAGGTATTGAAATAGGTCCTTAGTAGAATATGTTCAGAACTGGATGTTTTACAACTGATGATGAATGATGATGAAGGAGGTCCAGTATGCCTAATGCACATTAATATCAGATCATTTTTCATGAATTAAATAATCAATTCTTAAGCTATCTGCATGTTTTTTAATGTTAGGATTAAGTTGTTTTTATCACATTAATTAATTAATGTTTACAATAACAGTATTGTAAATTAAGTTTGGTACCTAATATTGTTCATTGATAAAGAAATGTAAAATAAATACTGTAGATAATAGGAAGCTACATCAATACATCGGTCCTACAAAATGTTTTATTTTGATCTAGTCACCAGTAAAGATTTCTGCGTAAATCAATACACAACTTGGCAGGTAGGTTTTGGGTCAGCAGGTTTCAAGGTCGACTCTCATAACATGTTACAAAACACCGAAAAGTTTGATAACACGTCAAATGCAGGGTAAAGAAAAGTCGGCATGAACTTTTAAGCCCAAGGAAGTCCTTACAATGCCAACTACAAAGGGAAAATTACTAGGACGATAAGTATTACGAAGTCATAGGTCAGAAACGAAGGTTAAGACTACCACTCACCTCATACGATTGTGTAGTATTCTCGACATGTTTACGTAATACTTTCAGTTTATTTAGTATTTCATAACCCTTCAATAGGCTTTCGGAAAAAATAACAAATTAAAAAGACGTTCTCATTTCATAACCTCCACCGGTCCAATGAAAAAATATACTCATGTAATAACAAAACAGATATCTATGTGTATAAGGTGATTTAACTAGTAAATATGAAACAATCAACGTGTAAATAACTATAAATTACTTCATATTTTGAATATTGACAAATTACACATTTCAAAGGACATTTTCGACTTCATTTTCGATCTACGTTTTGTTAATGCGTTTTGACAATAGACTGCAGTTGAATTACATTTTTAATATTTTGTTTTATATTGCTTACATTTTCACACCAGTGTATTGCATCAAACTTTTATCTAACTTTATTTATATAAAGATATAGATAACTAGATATTGATATTAACAGTTCTATTTAAAGAATTCCTAAAAATTCGTTTAGTTCTCACGATGGCAAAATTTCCCAGAATGATTTCTTATTGGAAACGTCAATTACGTCATTTTATGTCAAATGGCGACTTGTTTTGCCAACTGGACAAAATCCTGTCACTTGTAAAAATAATGCAATTTTCTTATTGTTTACATCCATTATTTCCAATTATTTCAATTTCAGTACTTTAGTGTGATATGTGACGTTAATCGTACACGTTAAAAATGTCGTGGCTAAACTTAAACCACAGTTTAAACAGTCTAAAAGGCCAGATTACGAATTTTGCATCTGAAGTGTTATCTGAGAGTCCTGCTCAGGATGTTGCTAATAAAAGTTTACAAGGAGACTCTTCTGCCACAGAACTAGAGGAAAAATGTCGAAACCAGGAACTTGAGGTGAGTTTACGCTACTTAACACCTATTTTAATGTTTCAATTGACAGCTGATGTTAAGGTTATGTTTTTATATTTTTTTATTGTTATACACAGACTAGTAATCATACGACCTGTAATCATCCTCTCTAATTCATTCGAGGTTGCATCACTGTGCAAAAAATAATGGTGTAATGTCTGAACTGGGGCTAGGATTACATAAACAAACCTATTCTAATTGTTATTTTGATATTTTTGTCTCTTTCTTGCTTTGAGACAAGCATAATAATATGATTGTTATTTACTATACTATTTGTTGAAAAAAATCTTTTTAAGATTCTTCAAAGGAGGCTTTATTCCACCTATACATATTCTTCATTCTCTGAACTAATACCCACTGTCATGATTTCTAGAATAGTGTAACATAGACAAGAATTCATATAACTAATGAATGTAAATTATAATTGTAAACAGAACAGTAGCTAGCTGTAACATCTTGTTATACCTGCACTGAATGTTTTATTTAATAATAGTTTTATTAGTATAAGATTGTCAATGTTATTGACTGGTCAGTAGTATGGCCTTGCCAGTAGGCTAATATTTTATCACTCTTCAAATTAGAGTTAGTTACAAGTTAATAGTGTTAATGTTATATTTGTTATGTAACAACTACTGTTGCTAATAAACTTATTGAATCAAACAGGTTTCATTTAATTAGTTTATGAATCAGTTTCGTTAAGTTTTATTTGGTGAAATAAATAATATTTCATTGTTTACGGTTTTAATGTGAGGTGGTTTGTTTGATTTATGATTTTTAAACAATTTGAAAATAAAGAGAAGTAATAAGAAGTTTAATAACAGCTATGAATTTATATTTTCTGAAGTGTAGTAGTTTTAATGGAGTTCTAGAGTTTGATCAGTCAAAAAGGTTTAATTTATACTTAAAAATTTCTTCATTGATTAATTCATCAAATCTCAAGTAAAAGCCGGCGCCAATTTACACATATATTGTTCTTCTATTTTGTCTCTATTTATCACAACTTAAAGGTTAATTGAACATTTTTTAGTATGTTTTTTTTTAGATAATTATCTAAAAGAATTAAGCATACTTTTTGATGTAAAAAATTATTTACTAAACCACAAACTAGCCGTTTCTCACAAAACTCCTATAAGTTGTTTATATTTTTAATTTTTATTTACATGTTTACAAAAGTATTTAATTTCAGTTGTTGAAAATCCTATTCCAAGTTTTTTTTCAGTTGTCTATACAACTTTATATTAGTTATTTATATACTTCTTGCCCCAGAATATATTATGATAAAAATCTTTTAGTCTTGGCTAGATTTTAAGTCTTGCATGGTTTTAACTGCTGCCCAGCTTCTAATGGTTGTAGCATGATGTTTTTTAGCTAATAGCTTTTAGTCCATAAATGGACTATCTAGCATAAAATTATTACTGCTCAATCTGAACCAGTAATTCCTGATATTACCACACTCAAAGACACAAACTCTTCATCCACTTTACTAGATAAAAAGTAAAAAGATGTTCATAATGTAATTTATGACAGTGGCAAAGTTCATTCAGATCTGTTCAGTAGTTTTTTACCTGAAAGAGTAACAAACATCCATACATACTTACAAACTTTCACATTTATAATATCAGTAAAAATATAAAAAAAATAGTGTATAAAAGTTTCATAGATTAAAGTTAAGACTCATGTAACCAATTGATGTTGACTTTGCATTATCTGAGAACTTAAATTGTTGTTTCGGGTCTGGTTGTTATGTGTATGTGAGCTTTGTTGTGTAACCCATCCATGACAGAGGATAAAAATCCTATTGTGGGGCAAAGATAAAACCGAAACAATTTGTAGCTTCTATTAATTATGAAATTGTACCTTTCTTTCTTTAATTTGCTCTACACTAGGACTTTTCATACCAGCAAATTCATACGATTTTTTTTTTAAAAATGTTGCCCTACTCTAGGATTTTCTCCTGTGTCGTGTGCGGTTACAAAAATACAATTTCACGTACACATGACACCCAGACCCGGAACAACAATTTGTGGATCTCACAAAGAATTGTTCCGTGCGGGAATCGAACCCGCGACACGTTGCACGGCAGCCAGTTGCCCAGCCACCGCACGAACCGTGCAGTCAAAATTGTTTGAATTGTTGAATATGGATGCGGTAATGATACGTAGCTTAGGCTGGGAACCATAGATGGGGGCCAATAGGCCTGGTGTCAGCCAGGATTGTGTTTCAAGCGTAATATTGTAAACCGCTGCCCAGGTCCGAAGCAAGAGGGGCGGTTTTTAGTCAGTAAGATTCTGACACTTCTTCTCGCACCACCAAGGGTGCCGATGATCATTCCCTCCCCTCCCCAAAAAAAGCTGCTGGTTGCACAGCTACTGCGCCAAACGCGATAAAATAAGTTATGAGTCAAGCAATGACGCCGCACGCCTTTAAAAGCAGACAGATCTAATGGCATTTCATGAAAAGTGGATTAAAACACTAATTAAATAACTGCAGAACAACTTTGTTGTTCTAGTTAGACAAAGTATTATCAAAGTCTTTTTGTAATTAAATGAATTGTAAGTGTGGTTCAAGTGTCGCCGGCTCCACCAGAGTTATACAACGACCTAACGAACACGCGTAGCGTGAAATAGCGCGTTTGTTTCGTCTTGTTAATGATATTACCCAATCTTTCTATTCCATCCCTAATTATCAAAAGGCCGGCAACGCACTTGTAACTTGTAATTAGTGTTGTGGGTGGCCATTGGTGCCAAGGAAACCTTGGTCAAAAATAAATTAATTCGACGTTTCAATACAATAAAATGTTGAAGTATACATCGATCCGTCGATACACATAAAGTTTAGATATTTTTTAGCTAATTTTTAAGAAATAAGTAAACTATTTGACGCAAAAATAATATGACGTCATAGCTCAGTTTGTCATACAAATTTCATAGAAAAGTATCGTTTTTATTATTTGGATACAAGTATTGAGTTTGACTAGTTGGAAACTACCGTATTGCTTGCCATCAGGTGATCCGTCTGGTTGTTTACCGCTATCCTATACGAAAGTTCAGGTTTCCTTATGGTGTTTTCATTCAACACTTTTTTGTTTTGACTTTGACTTTGACTTTGACCACAGTTACTCGTATACAGATTATTTCGAACCTAATTAATCTTAGAAAGTAAACATAACTCTGAAATAGTCACATAAAAATGTATTCTTGCGAGGGTTACAGTACTATTAGCGTTTGCAAATTAATTAAAAATGCTGATTACTACGTAGCGTTGATAAGCACAGTGCTATTAGGTACTTATTATAGTATAGTGCTATTACTTATAATTATTTAAAACTTTGTTGAACTTTAGGCAGTCTTATCCTAATTCGTTACGATTTCCGCTGTTTTTTTACATTGTTAATGCCGCTATTCGGCTCCGACAGATAGTAGCGTGATGTTTTATATAGCCTTACTCGATAAAGGGACTAACAAACACAATGAAACAATGAATTTATTTTTGCAAATAGGCCATAAAACGGCACTTTTACACGTCATATTATATGTGAAAAACTAGATGAAGCCGGCATTTCCTATCTGACTACCCTGAGAAGAAATGCCGAAACAAAATCAGAGGTCAGTCTCTTTTCAAGTGCAGACAATGTGGAATAACATAATGTGAGAGACACAAAAATAATTGTTCAATTCAAAGCAGTAGTTCCGAAGATTAGTGCGTTCAAATAAATAAACTCTACGGCATCCTTATATTAAGGAAGGCTATGGACCAAGCCCTAGCTCTATTTCTTTCTATTTCTTTATAGGGAGTTAAGACAACCGTGTTTTTAACGTTACTCCACATTATTATTTTCTCCTATGTCGTAGTTGCTTTAACAAACATACAATGTCACATACTTTACACAATTTCTGTGCTTTTAAGGCTTAAGTCATTCTATCTCCTGCACTAAATTTACTGTGGGAAGTGGAAACTATTTCGTTTTTTCTTCTCCTCAAATAATATCTTCGGATTTATTTCGTTGCGGGATCCAAGACTTATTCATGTCCCTGGGACGCCGGACTTTAGTTTCCGGTGTTTTCATGGTTGTAACTACAGGGCCTCAAGTCTGTTATTACGATAGTGTCAGAATAGTAGATTATTGGTTTCAAAATTGTTGATTTTAACAAGTTTTGTTAATCTACTAACATGATAGCGTCATTATGACTTTCTAATGATCAACCAATTGAAATAATTCTTTAGAACGGTAATGTTTTACGTTTAGAATATTAATGTGCAGTTATTTTTTATATTTCGTTACAAGACATCTCGTACCATAATTCTATTACGACATCGCCTAACGCCAATGATCAGCAATTTTGAATAAACAGATTACGAACCTGTAGCAAAATGACAATGGAATCGTGTAGGAATGACAACACTTTGAAAATAGTAGACTCGGGCCCCTGTAGATCATGGCTTACAGGAGTTGCAACGGTTTTGTGAGGTTGCGACAGGCTTGTTGCATAAAAAACACATTACACCCAGACTCGAAACAATAATTTGTGGTGCAGATCACACAAAGTTTTTTTTATAATTTATTCAGTAAAAGTTACAAAAATGTGTCCTTATCATCTAAACTCGCCAAACTTTAACGTTTGATGGCGAGAGGCGCTCTTTATACAATATGATATTTATACATAACAGTGAAATTAGTGTGTTCCATGTAGAGATCGTACTAGCGATACGATGCATGTCAGCCGGTAGTCAACAACTGGATGCCGAAATCCTAATCATTTGTCTCGGTAAGCATTGACGTTCTAATACACTCCCATAGCAGTATTTATCTTAATTGTCAGTTATTGATTTTCTCTATTGTGTTATCTATGACATTACTCGTAGCACGTGAAACAAACATCCTAGGTACTATAAACGCGAAACCTTGTCAGTATGGATGGGTGGATAGATGGATGTGATGGAGTGAAATTTTACACAGAGATGGATCTTATTTTGGAATAATACGT